TCCTCTGTTGACAGCAGCATTCCACCTCCTCTCATTCCATTCAGTAATTACAAATGATAGCTCTAATTTTTATGTTAATTACTGGAGTCCTTTTTCAGACAAATCTGTTTTATGGTCATTTTACCCACTTGCCAAAGTAAAGACCGATCCAAAAAGTACAGCTTATAAAAGGATTTTTAATAAGGCAATGTTACTAGTCATCACTGGTATACTTTTGTTTTTAAGCACATGCTGATTCAATGGTAAAGTAAGAACTTAGAGTAGTGTTGTTAGATAGTGTGAACTGAGTAAGAGGGACGACAGGGAACGCGTGTAAGAGGGCCTGACATCAGAGACTAAGGGACGGAGCAGCCCACTGCAGGGGGCCTTCCGCCCCTTCCCTCTCAGGCTGGGAGGCACCTCAGCCGAGCAGCAGCTGGCGGTGAACCGGCAGACCACGGGGGGGGGGGGTGCCTCAAGGCAAATACAAAAATGAGGCGGCACCACGGATGCTTTCAGCGCCCATCTCTTGTTCTGAAAATTGTTTTTTAATTAAAGCGAGCTCCTCATTTCCTTTCCAATTTTCCTAGCTGATGGCTCACTTTGACAGAAGACAATGCTCTCCATACTAAGAGAGGAAAAACTGAATTATTGATGACATTGTAGAGCAATATTTAATGACATGGAAAGATGTTCATGATTAATGATATTTGGTAAACCAAAAGCAGGTTGTAAACAATGTATGCGTTGTATTTTGTTTTTAAATGTGTGTGTGTGTGTGTGTGTAGAAATGAGTAGAAGTATATTTAGAAGTTATCTGAAAAGTGGACTTTATATATGTTTTTTTATTTATTATATACATATATATTTTTTCATTTTTAACTTCATGGCATTTTTGGTGAAAATTTTGCTTTACATAAGAATAAAAAGCAGAGTTTTAAAAATGAAAAACAAAGTGTCATTAAAAAAACAATTTTACCTTTTTAAGTTCTTTTCCACTGGAAAAACTCCCTGAGACACTCATTTCATAATTAACTCTTGCTCCTTTTTTGTAAAGCTGGGGCAGCATTTCACTTCTAATAATCTCTAGACACAGCCATTTTCCAAAACGAACGTTTCTCCCTTTTGGCAAAACCAACGCCCCCCCATCATGACTGCAGCTCCCCCACTCCTCTGCCCAGCATCCTACTTGGCAAGAGCCTCTGAGACGAACACGTCAAGTTTGTACCACCCTGGGCGAGGGGATTTGACTTGCATTTTCCTGCCTGCATGTGAGCAGCCTGTTTCTCAGAATGTTCAAAAGCAATTGCCGTAAAGTGAATTTACTGTCATGAGTCCATCAGTGCACAAGGAACAGGAAATCTTCTACAGAAATTCAAAATACAGAGCTAACTACCAACCACCAAGCAGAGGAGGTACAGTGATGTGCTCAGGCTATAAGCCTCCACAGACACCCGTCTGCCTCCATCATTATTTATCATCTGGTCTCTAGTTACTCTGTTACCACAAGACAGAAAAAAAAGCCAGGGATTCAGCTCATACTGGCTTCCCAGACAACCCTATATACTTCACTGTGCTTCTTGGCCCACATGGTGAGTAGTGCTATTCACTGCTCCTGCGGTGTGGGACCAGGGAATCTGAGACAAGAATGGGAGTGGCATTTGCTTGCTCGAAAGGCTGAAAGGCCCTCAATCAACCAGGTTGAGAGAGACTAAGATGCCCTCCCTTCTGCCGGGATTGCCACCCTCATCCTTTATAAGCCACTTCCTGTCTCCAGGGTACAGCCTCCCAGACCTGACACGGGATGATGCCAGACTTCTTAAAGAATACATTTTTTAAGTAAGAAGAACACCCATCCATTTTGTCTCCAATGTGCACAATGTCACATTTGAATTGTTAAACACCATCTCGCTAATAAGAAAAAAATACATTGGGGTTGATCAGGTTGAGACAGACCAGTTCCTCAGTTCTGCAACTTAAATCTAGCAGGAAATAGCAGGAAAAATGGCTTCAGCGTATCTGTTCTGATAGTAGGAAAATATGGACTCAGTCATTGTATAAAACTATCTTTTTAGATCAGAGCCAATCTTAGAGATCTTTTTCCTACTTATGTAACACCTCATATTTCATAAAGGGTGATGACAATGTTATCAGTGGAGAAATCACTTCCTATAAAACTATATGGTCAGCATGGAAGTTCTCCTTTTATTTTTTCCTCCAAATGTACTTTTTTTGTGGAGCACATTTTAATAGTTTCAGCAGTATGGTGGCTTACAGAAGATTCACAATAAAAGGTTTAAAAGAATCAAGAAATCCTACTATCCCTAAGGAATACACATACACATTATCTCACTCACTTGTCACCAGACTCTCTGAGTGTTTGAATGTTGTTATTCCTACTCTTCAGCGCTGGATCTAGGCTCTTAGCATCACATAGCTAGTATATCATAGGGCTTAGCTCTTACTCATGACTCCTAACCAGGTTCTGTAAGTTGACAAATGGTGCAGTACAATAGCCAAGTGGCTCTTTGCTCCTATGGGACCTAAAAAGTTAGAGCTTGCTTAGACAAGGTATGAAAACAGTCTGCTTGCCTGATGTGCCTCGTATCTTTATTTATTGCTATTTTATAATCTGGGTAGAACTAGGAATCCAGAACCTACAGCCTTAGGTCATAATGAAGAAAGGAAGAAACAACAACACCTGTTGCCCAACTGTGTGTACGCAACGTTACTGAAGAACACTGCCATTTATAATGAGTCAGCAAGGCACTTCCTGCAGCTCCAGGGGGAAGTAGAAAAGTCAATCTGGCCTGACCCCCAAGATTCTTCAGCAACCTGTCCACGCTACTTATTATTCAACCAGACCTAATATACCACCCCTCCCTGGCTTTTTAAAGAAGAAATGGAGGCCCAGAGTTCAAGTGATCTTCTCAGTCCCTAGCTGGTGGCAGAGGTGGGACTAGAACCCCCATCATCTAACTCCCAACCCCGTGCTCTTTCCAATCTGCTACAGCCCAACATAGAGTACACATGATGATGACAAAATCGTAGCTGCAGCCACCATCAATTGGCTGTTTATCAGGGTGAGCAGTAAATACTTCATATGAATGATTTCACTGAATCTTCAGAATTACTAACCTACAAGGTAGATAAGGAAACAAAGGCTCAGAGAGGTTAAATAACTTCTCCAATACCCCACTGTGGGCAAGTAACAGACCTGAGATAGAGCCCTGTCTCTCTGAAGCTAAAGTTTCATGTTTATACCAAATTGCCTTTCTCTGCTCACCAGGTTTGCTGAAAATTGCAGTGATTCCACATGAACAGCTGATGTGTCTGCCTATTGTTACAGTTTATTCCATCTATTTTACAAAAGGAAATCTTTACAATAACAGATTTTTAAGAGAAAGGACACAACTCATATGCTCTTTCCTGCCTCCCTGATGCTAAATCCTTGAGTTTATTAGAAAGGTAAAAAGCCCTACTCAGATATTGTAAATCTGCCTTTGAGATGCAAATGTGGTTTAAAGGGCAAAAAAAAAAAATCATGATTTAGGCATAAATAAAATAAAATACTTCTTTAAATAATGAAATAAAGGTCTCCCACATTTGGAGCATTAGACATGCCAGGTAATCCTTAGGTGGTTAGACGCAGTGCCTCTGTTCACAGACTGAGATGCACCCAAGGTGATGGAGGAGGCTCAGGCCAAGCCTGAGCTTCCTCTATTCTTTGCTCTTTGTATCTGTATTTTCAGCACCGATTTTTTTCATGTGCTGATGCTTGGAACATAGTAAGAACCAGAGCCTTGCAATTGCTAGGAAGACAGTCTTGTTAACAGGTTTCCCAAAGTCACTTGTACAGTCGTCCCTTGGCATCCACAGGGGATTGGCTCCAAGACCCCCTAGTGGATACCAAAGTCCGTGGATGCTCGAGTCCCTTATATAATATGGTATATTATTTGCATATAACCTACACACATCCTTCTGTATACTTTAAATCATCTCTAGATTACTTGAAATACCTAATACAAGGTAAATGCTATGTAAGTAGTTGCTGGCCTATAGCAAATCCACATTTTGTTTTTTGGAACTTTCTGAAAATTAAAAATAAATATTTTTGATCTATAGTTGGTTAAATCTGTGGGTGCACAAGCTGCAGATACAGAGGTCAGACTGTACTTGAAGAAACGTCGGGTTCCTAATATCACTTGGGAAGGCTTAACCTCCCCAGATTGCAGCTTTATTATTAGTAAAATGAGAGGCAATCTGAAATCCTTTATACCTCAAAAATTCTGTAAATTGCTGCTGACTGGATAAAGGAATTCCAAAATCCACTCCTCTCCATTCCTCTTTTGTTCATTTGCACCCTCTTTTTCTTTTGCTCCGGCCCCCATTAGTTCCATTCACCCCTCTTTTTTTTTAACTTATAATACTGTCTTATTAGTCTCTTATATTAATTAGTAGCAATCGTAAAGCAAATTTTTTTTTCCACTCCAAGGAAATGCATCATCTTATTACAAATGAGAATGTAGTGCAGACAAGGCAGACAGCATTCATGTGGAAGTAAGGCACGCATGATATAGACAAAGAGGTAGAGAGCACATTCACATGATTTACTGTTCCTTGGAAACCACAATGGTCCTTTTTAGTGAAGACATTCTAAATACTCATCAATATAAACTTAAAACCAGAGCTTCTGAAAACATAAATTAGAGCCACAGTTCTCAGAAGCCCAAACCAAACATTGCTTTCCTATTACTAACAAATGCTTTGGTTCTGTTGCATTCTGTATTTTAAGAGATGTACATGTGTATTTTAAGTATAACCAGGAAGATCTTTTTTTTCCCTTCGTTTAGAAAGATAATCCAAGATAAATTCATTCTAAAAGCTTTTTCCACTCTCCCAAACTTTCAACATAAAAAAACGGTAATAAATCAATATATGCACAAGTTAAAGGCCTCTCCCCACCCCCACCATCAAGAACACTGTGGTAGCAATAAAGAAAGAAATGTTTTCCACTTTACCTGGGAAGAGCGGTGATTTTCCCCCATTTCTCCACGCAGAATCTTCTTGGGCCGTTACTCCCTCGGAGGGAAGCAAATCCTTCGTAGGGAATGCTGGATGTGCCCGTAACAAACTATCAACCCCAGAAAAGAGAAGGAGAAGGTGAAGCCAAGAGTCCAATTGGCAGGAGAGGCCTGGCATCATTCACGGGCAGAAGGAGGTCCTGGAGTAGGGCAGCATGCCGCTCACCGGTGGGAAAGCTCAGAAGACAGAACTTCACAGGCACAGGGTGACCATAGCATGAAAATTCCGACAAAGAGCCAGAGGTCACCAAGGAAGGACAGTGCATTACAAAGGGAAAGGCGATGTGGAGGGTCTGCAGAAGGTACAGCCTCCTGAACAGCTGGCTAGCTCAGGAACTTAAATCAGGTATACTTTCCCTTGTAGATTAATAAAGTGGGTATATCAGTTAACGTAAGTCTACTTAGCATCAGTCCCTGACCAACTTAAGGTGAATGAAAAACAAGAATGTGAGAACCAGATCTGTGATTCAAAGTAGCTAAGACTGCGTGTACTTGCAAGGCTCTGCCTAAGTACCCAAAAGGCTTCCGCGTGTCTGATACTTCTTTAGCTGCAACCAACCAGCAATTGCCCTGTATAACTATAACCACCACAAGAAAATAACGAGTCAGTTTTCCCAGAGTTCTTAAACTTCACAGCTATCTCAAGTCTGTGGAAAGTCAGACGGAAGAAAAGAAAGGACCCTTTATCAAGGAACTGGGTCACTTCTTAAGGGACTGAAGATTATCTTTTCCTGTTGCCCGGGATGCTGGCCTGCAGAGTGCCCAGGGACCTCTTGCTGAAGGGATCAAACTGCCCGGAAGGCAGAGGCTGTTCCTGGGATTGCTGACCTGGAGTTGGCACTTCCTCACAACTCTAATTGTCATGCTTGGACTTGGTTTGGGATGTTCTGCATAGTGATGGAGCCACAGAACCATGCAATCAGAAGAGTCTGAAAACAGTGTATCCCAGACATGCAGATAAAGATGGGATGCATTTACTGAGGATACTGAGCAGTTATTAAAGATATGCAATTCCAAGAATGATTGTATTAATGCATTAAAAAAATTAACTAATGGCATCTTACCTGTAACAATCTTAGTCGTTGTTCATTGTTGAATCTTTCCACTGCAGCCCAGAACCACCGAATTACAATATGATTGTCATGATAACCTGTCAAATCAATCATGAAAGCCCATACTACTTTGAGTTTTCTATCTTAAGTCACCATGAAACTGACACGTTAACAAAAGACACCCAGACATAAATCATCATCTTGGATTCGTTAAAAGTTATTTTTAATTTAAGACCAAGGAAGAACACTGTAACAATCATATAAATGTCAAAAGTCAAACAAAACACTAAATGAAACCAAGAAAGCTCTGTTTCCATTTAGTGGTCACTAAATTAAACTAGTGGCGAGAACAACAAATGAGTTATTTTAACCATATCATTTCTAAAAAATGTAATCGCTGTTACTGGAAATGCTTAACCTTTTGGTCATTCATTTCAGAAATAATTTTCAAGTACCACTATGACAAGAACTGTATTAAGCATGGGGGTAGAATGGAAAAAAAAAAACAGACCCCCACAGAGCTTCTGGTACAGGAGAGACACATAAATAAAATAATTATACAAATAAATACATAATTGCAAACTATTTTAAGACCATATATAATGTTCATATTTTAAAATAAAATTACTTTTTATTAACAAAAATGGAAAAGTAATTTCATTACTTTAATTCCTTCAACTAATAAGTTCCAAATAATCATCAGCCTAAATGTTACTTTTATTCCATATTATAGTAGAATTTAATCAAATGTCAGAAGTGCCACAGGTGGGTTAAGGTAGTAGCTGTGGATTTCAGACCCTTCCGTGGAGATAATTAAGTTCAGAGAGAAGGCTAACAAAGGAAGATTAAAGTACAATTAGTGATTCAAATCAATTAGTTGACATATTCAATGTGTATAAGGCTACTCTAATTCTGAGTCAGCAGCAGTTAAGTCCAAAATAAAAGGTGAGTAGAAAGCATTTGACTTCGAATTGTTCCTCGCATGTTTCAATGGTTGTGGGATTTGGGGAGAATCTTGCCTTACTGTTTACCACTTGATCAGTGATGCTGAGTGCCCTTTGGAGAAGAAAGGGATCCAAGTGAAGGGCAAATACAACTAGACTGGACATGGATGCACAGGCTCCTTGTCCTGTCTTTGGCAAAGAGGAGCTATTAGGTGCTGCGCAAATGGTTTTCTCATCCATAAAATAAGTGCATTGGCTCTTAATAGCTTTAACGTTTTCGACTTTTTGAATCAGCTCTTTCATGCATCTCCTTTGCTGTCTGGAGGAGGAGGAGGAGTGAACGTACCTCACCATCTTCTCTGCAGACAGCTGCCTTGTGAACATATGGCGAGTGGCAGCACAGCCACCCCTTCATTCAATGCCAGCTAGCTGGGGTCACAAACGCGGCAGCTGGCATCTCGCCCTTTTCCTGCCCCCTCCCCCAGCGCTCTCCTCCCAAGGATTTCATCTGATAAGACTGATAGTAACCATAGAAACAGGTACTTGTTGGTCATACAGAGGGAATCAAAGTCTATACCGTGCAAATACAAAAATGGCTGATTTGATCAGTGGTGTTGCTATTAGGATCTCCTAGGGGCAGGGAATGAGCTGATGATACTTAGGGTAAGATGTAAGTTATGCAGCATGTTGGAGAAACTGCTCTAGTTAGTGAAAATAGTTTGGTTAACAGAATTACAACAGCCAAGGCCACAGGCAGATTATACACGGGGCCAATTGGAAAAGACTTCGCACAGTGATGGGACTTCAGAAACAGCAGCGAGGGAAACCGCCGTTTAATCCTGCCCTTCAGAGAACACGGGCGAGCTGGACCAGCCCTGGGAAACAGTGATGAGCGGGAATAGCCAAGCAGAGGCTACAGCAAAAGCAATTGAGCCAATGTTAAGGTATTTTTTTACTCCTAACTTTTTAAATTTCTTTTTAAAAATCCGTTTCAATTTACAGATAACTGGAGACCCACTCAGTTCTCACTTTTTTTCTGCTAAGTGATTAATTCAGTGACTCAAAGTTTGTATTCCTCACTCTCCAAATTCAGAGCTACTGCTAACTTCTTACATTCTGAGTTACAAAATAAAACTGACAACAAAAAGCAACTGTCATTTGTCATGACTTTCTGAAGACTTTATAATGCTGCAAAAAATTCCAGAGAAGGTATTCTTTCTGTGCTTCTAATTATTGGATAAAACCTAACTCTGGGTTAGCAGCAGGTCTCCTTCACAGCGTACTTACTCAGCAACCAAACTTCAGTGGCTTCGAGGCCAAACACTAATTGAAGATTTGTAGTGATCTATTGAAATGCCAGTTCTAAAGCCCCCCATTTGGTCGTATAATGTGGTTTTTAAACTAATCTTACAGCAGTTTCCTTTTCAGGTGAACTTAATGCTTGAATGGTGAAGGGTTTGTTCAATAAACGCGAAATTTGAGAGCCATATCTTATTCTATTCATGTGTTTCAATTGTGAATTACAACTGGTAAGTAATTCAAGTGAAATGGAGAAAAACTGTGTTTGCTCATTAGGAAGCCCAATGGGTGTGCCTCTTCCAGGTTTACAATGAAGGTAGACTAGGTGGAGTTTGACCAGCTGGATATGAGCTCCCTGGTGCTTCACCAACAACATCATAAAACAATTAATTAGTGTTCCTATGGTCACATTTCTTCACCAACAATTAAGTGTTATGACATGCTCAGATGGTGCGTAAACAGTCCTCCTTCCACTTGATAGATGAGGTAACTAGGAAAGGAAGAGAATGTACCTTGCCCAAGGTCTCAAAGGAGACTGAATCAGACCTACGATTAAAAGGCAAGTGCCTTTGCCCGTCCTGGATCCAGACCCGCAGGCCCAACCATTTGCCTCACTTTAATCTGAAACTTAAAGTCCAGCCATCCATCCATAAATCAAATCTCACCTCCTCTGTATTCTGTGTTGTTTCTCCAATCGCTTAGGTCTATTTCGGCAGTGCCTGCGATGACCAGTTCCAGCTCTCTTGCATCAAAAACAGATACCAGCCTGGCATCCACCACCTGGGGAATGAAAAGAATACAGGACACAGCTTAAGAACCTGGAGAAGCTCCAGCTATAATTAAGCCTCATCAGAAAAGGAGGGCACAAGGAGTGCTGGGAACACCAGGGGCATAGTCTGTGTAGGCACTTTAAAACTGGTAAAGCTCTCTACAAATATATTTTTAGTACAAGGTTGATGAGATTTTCAACAGAAATTTTTTTTTAAATAATTGACCACTGATTAATTCAGTTTGTTTTTCCTCTTTTGGAAAAGAATGAATGCTCCTACAGAAGAAGTCACATGGAAGGCTTGTAACAACTCCTGACCGTCAGATATGATCATTTCACGTTATCAGGCATGAGATCTGGTGACCTGTATCTGAGCATGAGTAAGATGTGTAACTTCAATGTTATTAATGGTCATTACATCGTCAAATGCTATTTGAATTCAGGTCACTAAATTTCAATGATCTTTTGTAACAAGGCAATATTTTTTTTCTTGAAACACATAGGGAAAAAAAATACTGAAATGTTTAAATTGAAAGAGCAACAGTAAATACAGCAAAAGAGAAATGGGAGTAGGAAACACACATGAAGCACCGTGAGGTGGGCCAAGGTAACACTGACGTCAGACTGCGAACCCATCCTCTTTACCTCATAGAAGCCACGCACAAGGCTCTCTGTCTGCTGCACGACACCCCTCTCAATCCTCCACTTCACCATCCTCTCGATGTACTCCTTCTTGTTCTTCTCTGTGACTGGGATGTTGGCACCCCCTGGCTTTAACTCTCGTTCGGTAATCTGAGAGCAAAAAACAAAAGGACTGATCATGCAATACTCTCGATGTTGTCAGACCATTGCTTCCAATGAGCCCCTGCCCTGGCTGGGCGCCTCCCGGGAGCAGGGGCTGAGGCACTAGCACAGAGCCCCAGGCACACACCGATGCACAGGGAAAACTGGGCACCGAGCTGATGCCTGAAAGCTCAGTGTTTAAAAATATATCTATTGCAAGGCTGAAAGTTAAGTTTTAAATCCTAATTTAAAAAAAAAAAGTCTTTTAAATGGAAACAAATTGGCTCCAGATTCCATCCCACTGTTATTTGACTGACAGAAAGGCATTTTCACAAATTCCTTTAGGGTTCAGAATCAACTACATATAGAAAGCCAGTATCTAAGTCAAGATTTACTTTAAGGAAGCAGAGTTACATTCAAGTGAATGTTAAATTGAGAACTTCTTTTCCAAAACATGAAATTCAGGAGGCCAGCCAAATATTAATGTCTAACTAAGAATATTACTCATGAACTAGTATACAATTTCTGTAAGAAATCTTTTAACCAACTCTTCTACCAACTTTGAGGAAAAACAATACATTTTCAGACCTTCAGCAAAATATTGTTTACTTTCACTCAGCTTCAAAACAATCCATTTCAGTTCTTAAATATAAATCAGAGTTAAGTACAAAAGCCAATTAAATAATTCAATATTCTGGAATAGCATGGACTTTTAAAAGTTGTATTTTAGATCAGACATATTCTACTATGTTATATGGACATTTTGTTTGGAATAAAAAGAAGATTGTTTACAACACTCAAATAGTTGTAACAATTTGTAAATCAAAACATCTTAATCTGAAGTTGGTATTAGAATAAGCTTTGTAACCAAGATTATGGTAACTGTACATAAACTTGGGTTTAAACCACTCAACCAGCCTGAAATAAACAAGCATCTGATCTTAGCCACCGAATTAATGCTTCTCCAACCAATAGCCTTCAATTACCACACTTAGTCACCAGTTATTCAAACACACAGACCTGCCCAAAGACTTCTTCGTTCACAGTGAATGTGAGGTCCAGGATGTCGTGGATGTCATTGTCTTTCATCCACTGCAGGCTCTGGTGGAACTCTTCATCAAGGTATTCTAGATCACTCAGGTCACACAGACTAAGTTGACAAACAGAGAGAAACAAACATATAGGCATGCCATGGCCATTAGCAAAAACCCAGAGTCATGAGGGAAGAAACTAAGAGCCAATGACAAGAACAAGACCAACTAAATAGGCAAAGATTTCTGGACTCTTCTTAGTCAAAGTCAGTAACCAAACCAGTGAAATAATTCAGAAATTTGGTATAAATTTTATCACTCAGTTTGTTCTTTCTTTTGCAGACACAGAACTGGAGGGGCAGAGTGGGTGCCATTTGCACAGTCACCCACAGTCAATGCCAGAGTCGGAACTGGAACTCGGGAGACAACTTGGGTTCAGTGTTCTTTGGCTTTGTTATACTACCTTAAAATATCATTCTCCTAATTAGAAATTCTGTGTATGTTTCTATGCTTTACTTTAACTTAGCTCCCCCTCCCCAACCCCGAAGACTAGATACTGTGATTCACATTCACATACACTCCCTTTTTCTTCATGGTTCTTACTCTTTCCATGATTCTGAAAACTGAAAGCCACAGTATCTCTCTACAATTATAATGGTTTTCTATATTTCTCTCTTCTTTTTTCATTCCCAAGAGATCTGCATGAGGTGGAGTTAATATCATATGTTGCATAAAGGTGGTAGCAATTGATTTGCTTTAGTTGTTTTGAAATTTCCTCCCATCAGCTCAATTTCAAAGACCCTTTTGTTTAGTTCAGTCTAAACATTTATTAGGCATCAACTAATGCCAAACATCTTAATAGCTATTTGATAAATAGTTACAGCCCTCAAGGAGCTAATAGTTTAGTTGGAGAGACAGGGACACAAATAGATAAGTTAATATGAC